AAGAAATCTAACTAATAAACTAATATAATAATGTTAATAAAAATATATATAAAAATTAAGAAATAAGGTTAACAATAATTAAGATACTAGATAGGATATTAACATAAATACTAGTATAGTTGTTAGTAAGATTACAAGTTAACTTTACAGTTAATTTTATAATATATATAAAGGCTGAGAATTTTCTCAACTCAGTCTTTAGTTCAGTTTAGTTAGTTCAGTCAATTCAGATAGTTAATCAGTTAGTTAGGATTTATTAAGTAATAAAGTTAATATTACAAAATCCTTTAAGTTTCTTGTTTATTGTATTCTTTTGATAATTGATAAACTGTTTATCCCTATTAGCAAGTCTTTATACCACTGTTAATAGCAATAACATCTCTTTCATAATTGATCATATATAATTCTTTCTATGTATAAACTCTTTTATTGAAATTGTTTTATTTTGAGATTAGTAATTTTATAATTTTATTTAGTTTTATTTCTTAGTTTTAGTATTATTTTATCTTGTTGTCTTTATAAATTGTAGATGTAACAAATCTACTAATTCATTGTAGAAAATAAATATCAACAAATATTTATTAGTGAAGTTTGTGATTTATAATTAAATTATTTTACAAGACTTGCTTGTATCTTTATTATTCATATATTATATTTATATAAAAATACATAATTAGTATTACATAATATAAATATATAATAAATAGTATCTTAGGTCTTACAAAACCAATCTGAATAGTTATATATGATAATTAATAAATAAAAATATAATGAAAGAAATAAAATAAAATAAAATAAATGATTAACACATGGGATTACAAATCTATTGTATATCAAAGTTAATCACATATGTTATCATTTATTATCAAAATACAAAGATAAAAATATAAATAATAAAATAAAAAATAAAATAATAAAATAAAAGTAAAATAAAATAAATGAAATGGGTAAGAGCTGTCACTCGTCAACTACGTAAGCTACGATGTAGTCAAAACTATTACAATCTACTTCAAGAACAAAAATCAATTGATCGACTTGACCTTACAGCCATATTTTTGAGTGAAACTTGAAAAACTGAAGAAGGATCTTTTTCACAATGACATTTTTGGATATGTTATTGCGTGAGTATATATAATTGAATTTCAAAAATTTGATCTTCTTCATACTCATATTTTTATTATTTTACATACTGAAGATAAACTCAAAACATCTGATAATTATGATTCCATTGTTCGAGTAAAGATTCCTGATCCTATGACAGAATCAAGACTTTATGAAACTATAACAAAACATATAATGCATGGACCGTATAGCCCATTTAACTTCAATACATCTTGCATAAAAGATGGTAAATACAAAAAAAACTATTCACGAAATTTCACTGAATTAACCATTCAGGGATTTGATTCCTATTCCATTTACAAATGTAGAATGGACTTTATATAAATATGAAAGGTACCAAGCTAGACAATCGTTAGGTTATACTGTAGAATATTAATTTTATTTATTTTTATTATATTATTATTTAATGTATTTATTATTTATTTGTAATTTA